AAGAACCCGGAAATGGGAGACACGTGAGGTGATTTGAAGCAAGTATTTCCTTAGTGAAAATGTTATCCAAGGCTTTGTTAACGCGATATTAACGAAAAACCATGACCAATCAGAGCGCGAGTCGGCCGGGCCGAGTTCCCGCGGTAACCTTGGCTATGCGCTGCGATTGGTAGCCAACGTTACAGCGGGAGACTCGGCCGGCCGACTCGCGCTCTGATTGGTCATGGTTTTTCGTTAATATCTCGTTAACAAAGCCTTGGATAACATTTTCACTAAGGAAAAACTTGTTTCAAATCACCTCACGTGTCTCCCATTTCCGGGTTTTCCAACATTTTTGTTACACCCTGTATATATATACTTTAAACGCGATGAGAAGTCGCGAGAACACATTGCAAGCTTCCAACTCTCAGCTCTTCGAGTCCCATTTACAAATTGCAGAATAATTACGATCTCGAGATCATCTCTGTCTAGTCGTCGTTCCAGCACGAGTACACTTTCCTCGGGGACTGCTCCGTAACTACGATCTCCGAGCTCAGAGCAGTAAGAAGATTTCGAAGGAAATTTCCACGGGGGGTAGAGAAGGGGGGGGGGAGATGGAAAAGAGAGGTGGAACACCTTTGTTCCCACGAGTGCTTAAGAGCAAGAGCCGAGAATTGGAGCACGAACGGCAGCTTCACGGAGTACGGACGGGGAAGAAATTGAAAGCGATGAAGCTGTTTCCCATCCGGTCGCGATGGGGAAAAAAAATCGAGCACCGAGAAAAAGAGTGAGAAAGAGAGAAAGAAAGAGAAGGTCTCTCCATTACGAGCAGGGAACGACGGACATTAATTTCGGTCCTGGTGTAAATTAAAAGGGAGCCGTAGCCGTCGCGGTGTGACTTACCAAGCGGCCCTTCTTACTCTGTGTCATCGTGGGCCCCGTGTTCCCTTCGATCCCGTTTGCAGGACGCGTTCTAGTAACGCAATATTGGCGGGACCGCTTGGAATACCAATGACACAGAGGGTGGAATAGCATGGAGGGGGTGGGTGGGGTGGATTTCGAGGAACGAAGCTCCGTGGCCCAAGACAGGCTTCCTCGTCTTCTTCGGGGCAGAGAACTTTCCTAGCCAGACCTTGCACATGCTCCTCGTCCCAGCGTCGTCGTTTCCTTTTCTCTCGACGGAACCCGCCCGTACTCTTCGCTCGACCCGTCTCTCTGTTCGCGCGACGAAATGTAAAACTCGTGTAAGAAAGTTCCGGCGAAAGAAGCGACGACGGGGAAAAGGAACGCGGGAGGTCGTTCTTCGATGGTAGGGCGAGGAGCGGAGGACCCTTTTAATGGCTGGGAATAATCGAATGACAACCTTTCGCGAATCTCTTAATTCGCAAGTTTCCAGATGCCCCCCCGCACCCTTTTCCTACCTCGACGACGCCTGGCGCGGTGAAGTGAACGAAACAGGTGCCGTGTCGGAGCGAACGGTCGCCATTTGCTTGAACCTCCGGCGCTTTCGGCTCGGCTCGTTACTTAGCGATCCTTGGGAACGTGTTATCGCTTTCTGGTGGAATTACGGAAACTCCGAAGACCCTTAGACCTTCGGAGGGGGAGATCAGCGTCGATGTAGATTAAACAATCAGACAATTCACACGTTTACTTTAGCACTGTAGGATCAAACTGATAAGGAAAGGGATGCATGAAGTAGATGTAGAGTGCTACAGAAATATCCTTGTAGTCTTTCAGGTTGAGAACCGTTTGTTTGATGATAATGTGAATGAGGATGGTGATGTTTCGTGACTTGAGTAATTCGACGGAACTTTGTAACACGCTTAACCCTTGCATTGTAACGGTGAGTCTCACTCATCGCTCAAATAAACCAGTTATTTTCAATTTGAGTGTATATTATCCTTTTTATTTTTTTTTTTAATAATATTACGGAGTTGCTGGTTAAACTTTGTGAAACGTAACAGAATGTGGGTTGTATGTATTTTTGCGGTGGTGAAAATGAAGAATTTTTGTTAGTGTATCTTGCGTCCGTGTCGTAGTACGAGATGAAAAAAATGGTGACTGACGCATAGATTGTTTTTTGAGACACCTGGAAATCAGCGACAAGATGCAAATAAACAACTGTTCTTAGGCACAGCGAATATTTTGCACGTGATGTGCAACTCTCCAGTACTTAACACGTCGACTGTCACAATGAAAAAGAAACATACATAACCGGATATTCTTTATTTCGTTTTCTAAAATCATAATCTAATAACCATAACACTATTTATCTTGTTTTAACTTATACTGCAATATTACTTTTACGCAAAAATGTTGTAACGGTATTTAACTAATCCAGCCTCTTCGCAATGTTTCAACTTCGAGTTATCTCGTAGTAAGCAGTTCAACGTCTTAATCCCCGTTTATGACCGTTTGTCCATCATATTAACAGCCGAAGACGCGACGATCGTTGCGACCGTTGCCTATCCGCGTCAGATCGCGACACGTTCAACTCGTAAAATATATGAACCGGTTCTAATCCTAGAAGAAAAAGGCCTGCCTTAAAACCGACGATCGCGTAAAAACTGCATAAAAATTCTTAATCTCGAACACGGTCGAACCAGTCGTAAATTCAATCCACGTCGGCGCCCGTTCATCCCCCTCCCGGCTTCCATCGGTGGCGGGGTTACGTAATAAATTTTCCAACGAAGCGAAATCGAACCGGTCGCCGGGAGCCACTGGCAAAAACATAATTTGAATTCGACGGCATATTATCGGGCCCCAGGATCGACGCCGGGGATGGAGGGATGTTTTCCGCGCGTGGAGAGCATCGGTGGAGCCCTTTCGTCCCTCTCGATTCACGGGGAGGGAAGGGCCACGGCCGGAATCAAGTGTTTGAGATTATGACGGAGGCCTCGGTCACGTATTTCATTAACCGTGATGCGCAGCCACGGTTCCGTACAGCCCGCGATGGGGCGAACGACGGGATCCTCTCGAGGGTGTAGGTAGCCGCGAAATATGTTTGCTTTGCATTACATCCCCCGGGATGATCCCGTTATAATTATGAATGTCCCTTGTTGTCCCGTGAACAATCGTCGACCACCGTTCTTCGCCTCTTTCAACTCCGTTAATCTCGTCGAGGATTTGGCCGGTGGACGATGGTCTGTATTCCACGGCGAACCTATCTGCACGCCCCTTCCTTTCGATCACGATTAAAGCCGATAAAACGGGAAGGAAACCGTACCTGGTTTTACGTTTCCGCGGGAAATTCGTTGATCGCCGTAACCCGACGCAGAGGCATTTCAACGTTCTCCCGTGTAGGAAGGCTCTGCGTATCGTCCGGATTCGGTCGCCAGGTTCTAGCGTGTGCTTTGAGACCAGTAACGACAGATTGGAATTACCATACTGGGAAGAGGGACTGGACTCCTTATTTCCGTTTCCTTTAGCACGACGAAATGGAGGGGGGAGGCAGAGAAACCTCCGTAGGGCTTCTATCCAAATCGCTCACTCCCGAGAAACTGTCTCCTGCCTTCCTTTTTTTCTTCATCTTGTTCCCTTTTCTTCTTTCCACCATGGGAGGCGTATGCTCTCCCCTTTTCCCCCCGCTGTACCGCTTTCATCTCCCCTTTTCCCATCTCAGCCCACGAGATTCATCCGATTCTCGTCCACGAAGATTTCAATCTTGTTTGGTCGAGGTATCGACACGTCCTCATCTTCCTCTCGATATTCCCGGCAACCTGCTCCCCTTTTCCACCCTCTATCTCTCTCTCCTCCCCGTCCATCGTATTACCTACCAGCCGCGAAACGTTTGCTAACCCTTGCGAGAACGAAAAAGAGAGGATGGTCGATGCCTATATCGATCGGTCCGAATCGTGTGCAGTCTCGAACGAAATTCCCCGTTGCTTCCGCAGGAAATTCATATTTAGGAATAACGCGCGACTCCCCCTGCCGATTTTCAGTCCCCGTAGCCCTTCGTGACGTGTTCTCCCGGTGATTCTACGCGCCTCGAAATCGTCCGAGCCCTACGAAAATCACGACGCTATCGAGCACTCTCGCTAACGTGTCGTCAAGCAGTGAACAACGAAAAGGGCGGGATAGGCGCGACAGGGGGTTTGTAACAACCCTCGTGAGATACCGAGTACGCGAGACGTTCTCGCGCTCCTTCTCTGTCCCCGGAAAGAACTTTTCCAGTCTATGAATATATTAAAAGCAAACAAAGCCGCTCCTTCTCCCGTCATCCGCCATCTCTCGTTCCCCTTCTTGCTCTCTCGGCCCGAAGAACGTTACGCGCGTTTATTAAACCGTCCCACAAACGCTTTCTTAAGCACTTTAAAGTTCAGCTTCGTCGTTACCCTCGAAAGTACTGACGGTTACTCCTCTCGTCCGACGAGAGGAACGCCGGAGCATCCCCCATCCGCGACGCGGAGGAGCAATTAAAGTCGCGTCCATCGTGCTCGACAAACGCCTTTCGTCCTTAAACGACTTGACACCGCTCCCCCTCCCCTCCACTCCGGGGAAAGCTCAATTAATTTCAGACATTACGTTATTATGTTAGGCTTCGCTCAGACGAAAAGAATTAACCGGGGATAAATGTTTTCGTTGCGACAGCCGTCGATCGACACGTTCAATGGCCTGGGCCATTTTCTGTCACCTTTCGTTCAAGTCGCGTCGGTCGATGATGAGACATTACAGATTATATTAATTGGATTGTGCAGAAAATTTGTGGCGTTTTTAAAAACAGAGCGGGGATATTGGGGCCCATTCAGACCCTTATTTTATTTTCTTTAATTTAAATTTAAGTTTTTAAGATTCAAAAATTACGTGCACTATTACACTTTGAAATTTTGACAATATAGAAATTGTTTATTCGAAGAGGGCACTTGAGAAAGAAAAACTGTGAAAAGATGGTAATGACCTAAAAGTGATTTGATAAACTATGATCTAAATGATCGTGTCAGTTGCTAAATTTTTATTATAGACCACTGTGGTAACACTTACAATTTTCAGTTTTATAATACAAATCGTTTGTTTGTTTTCAGACTGAAATCTGCTCGAGCGCCCTGACGGACGTCATCCACGCGGTTATCAATGGAACGGACGGTTGTTTATTCTGCTTCGGACACGCTGGCTTAGGTGAGTTTCAATCCCGAATATTTTTCCGTGTCGCTGTGATCGCTCGAGCGTTGAATTTCTAAAGAACCACCCGTAAACAATCTGTTCGCACGCGTACATCCAGTCGAATTGGGGGAGTGCCAGAAGATCCGAGCGTCCTGGATAAAAAGCGGGTTAAATATTTTTCTTGCCGCGTGGTGCGTGATGGGCGACAACCACTCTCCGTTCTTCTTTCCGCCGGCTTTGTTCGCCGCGAAGTTCGACGTCCTCGTAGACAAAACGCCATTGTTCCCACCGCCGAGGAACCTCATCCGCCCGCCGAGCGTGGAAATAATTACATGAAATATGAATACCACGGGGAATTCTCGGCGTTCTTATCGTCTTACTATGTCCTTTTTCCGCGAGCTTGTTTTCGCCGATAAGATATACTTACGGTTTAACTTGGGCGACAGTGTAAAGACATCTGAAGCGCGAGTTTTGTCCAGAAACACAGGTAGAATAATCATGACGATAAAAAGTTTTATCTTTGGACTAGTTTAAAGCCTTCAAAATTATTTACTTGGACTTCTTTGCCTGTTGAAATTGCTAAACGACGTACATTTAAATCCTCTGTCGAATGCTCGCGATTTATTTTCCGGCCACGAGGTTTTTCCTTTTCGACGAGCATCGCCTTTGAAAGTCCGCCGTGTGTGCGTGCCGGCGACAAAGCCCGCTTCGCTAATTACTCGCGCACTCGCGACGATCTTTAAAAGCCGTGCTTCTTTGAAACCAAACACTCGGCCGAGCAGATTTCATTGCGCGTTTTCGACTTATTTTGTCACGAAGACTGGCAGGCACAATATTCAAAGAGGCTGCAAAGAGCATACTCTACCCTTTGGGGGGGGGGGGGGGGGGGGGGTGCATGGTGGATGCGAATCACCTGTACGGAGGTAGTAGACCGAACCTGTTTTACGTAACTTCTAATAGGACAAGCCACTTGTAAATATTATAATCTCATCACATGATACTCTGTGTCTATTTTACGAATTCCTTTGAGAATCTTGGTCAAATTTTCAAGCATCTGCCTGGTTTAATGCTTTCATAGCGTACCATAAATGTCATGGAACTGCTCCGAGGATAAAAGGTACTTAAAAATGCAACACCCGTTAACCTTCGCAGAGAATTTTATTGGTATCCTCCACTCGGCTGCCAGAACACGTTTAAAACAAATATCTCCGGGAAATGCATCCTGAATGCATTTTTGGAGCGGGCGGGACCTACATTCTATTGGTCCTTTCTGTAACATAAACTTCGTCACGTAGCACAGGAAAGAAGAAAGTTTTCTCGCCGGGCAATTGGAAACGGTTTTCGATTGCAGAGTTTGAAGGACTGCACATTCGGAGTGCAACAGACGATAAAGATTAATTTAACTCTTTTAGTAAATTACAATTTTTCCGTATACCACTTAGAAATACCTTGGAAAATATGCATTGTTGAAGATATATATTAAAATGAACACGTTTTTTCTAAAAATAAAAATAACTACACCCTTCTTTTGTATTTTATTATAAAGTCTATTTTGTTTTACAACTGTTGGAAGTATTATACTTCAGTCACTTTCCGTACCGAAATTTATAATTTATATTACATATGAGAAACCGAAATATCGGCTCAAGGTATTTGTGACGAAGTCCTTAGAGCTGATATTTCGGCGTTTGGGTACTAAAAGGGTTAAAGTATATCCTAACGTAGCCCAGTACAGAAAATATAATAGTATGGTGCAGGTAATGAACATGGTTACACAACACAAAGGAGATTCGAGCGAGCCATGTAGTACGGTAACTATGTACTCTAATAGAACATCTTGCAAGACGTCACCTACATAACTATTTAAATTAAAGACACTCTATTACAAACAAGACTACCGACAGAATGAAGAGTTTCACGTTCGCACATCGACAAAGAATCTCCATGTTCCGCCTCATTTCGTTACATCGTGAAAAGAAGGTTAACTAACCATTCGACAGATGGAACCGTTCCCCGGCGTTGTTTCTTTATTTAGACGTTTCCTCGAGCCCCGTCAGCCGCGGAACGCTCGTTTGCCGCTTGCTTTTCATCGTTCGCCGGGAAACCAAGCGCGCGGCAGTGGTACACGATCGTCGAGACGCGAGAAGTTGTTTTACATTTTAAGTAGTGATATCGAGTTTGCATGCAAATGCATGATTATGCGAGGAAACCGAGGGGAAGTAAGGTTTTCTCGGCCGGCAATGCTGTAGGAAGGAACGGATAAGAGGCCGCGGGGATGGAGGAAAATGGACGAGGAGAGAAAAGGGGCGAGAACGAGGGACGAAAAGGTTGGGCCGAAAGGAAACGAGATAATGTATGCCACTGGGACACGGTCTCTCTCTTTCACCCCCGACTACCTTTCGAATCTTAACGTACACCGGAGATTATCTCCGCCTCGTCCCACCTTCACTTTCAACTGGAATAACTTTCGAGCCGACGGATTTATGGCGAGGCTCGGGAACAGAGATCGATTAAACCACGCTGCTTCGCTCGCCTGGTGTCTTCGTATCAATTTCGAAAAGTTTGGTGGAAATCGTCGAGGGCCTGGAGCACCGATTACAGTAAATCCTCGATGAGTGTCCGAAGGATTCTCGGCACTGACAAGAAGGAGTTCACAGGTATAAGACTGACTCTTTAATGGGGTTCAGCACAGTGATAGATTGTGATGTTTGTTTCAGCTGCATGTCGCCATTAGTTTATGAAATATTTCATGTTCAGTACCGTGGAATCTTGGAACACTCATTGATAATTCACTGTATGTATTTTCCTTGACTGTCAGTAGCTCAGTTTTCGAGTGAAACTGATTATTATTAAAGACAGGCGAGAGTTTAATACCTGTTGCATACAGAGTATATGTAACGTCTTCGTTCCACACGAAGACGAGTTCATCAAAGTTCACTCTTGATGCACACGCCCGACGTTACCTTCGGTGAACCTAGAACACCAGTCACACCGTGCCAATCCACTTTCAGCCCTTCCTCAAAGGGAAATTCGATTAAGAGAGAAGGTACGATCTCGAATAAGAAGTCCCTGCCATCGTGACTAGAACTTACCTTTTCCCTTCCGAATCTAAGATTCCCTTAACGCCGAAAGTAAAGGGGCGGCGCGCGGCGGAAATCGAGCCGCGATCGTTCGGATTCTCGCGAAGTTCTTCATTCTCGGAATCGAGTGAAATTTACCGCGCGGGAGAAATCAATAGGGAGAGGGACCGAAGGCAGAGAGAGAGAGAGAGAGATACGGAAAACGCGAGACGGTGGCTATGGGAGAGATAAGAGTCTGTCGACCGAGCCGAAGGTAAAGAAACGCAGGGAGAAGAAAGACGTGGGAAGGAAGACGAACGAACTTTTCATCCCCTCGCCGCCCACCCGAGACGGGGATACTTGAGGCAAGTCCGCGAGCAAACTGCTTTTGATCATCGCTACGACAACGCACTTCTCCTCTCCCTTTCTCTTTTCCACGCCCTCTGTGTGTCACTCTTCCCACTGTTCCCCTTTCTTTGTAGCACAGACTCCCCTAACTCTTTACCATGCCGACTATCTGCCTCTCTCTCTCTCTTTCTGTCGCTTTGACACAGACGGAGAGAGAAGGGGGAACACAGGACAAAAGCAGAGGAGTAGGACAGGTCCGCGAGACAGGGGCGAGCGAGAAGGAAATGGTAACGAAAGAAAGGACGAAGGAAAAGAGTTCACGCACCGTGGATACGATCCAACGATCTTAAAGCGAGACCGCGGGATTGCCTGCATCTTTCCGTTCAGCCTCGCGAGCTCATAGGACCCGCTCCAGCGGATAAGCTGGGAACACGGCGAAGTAATCGCAAGATCGACAGCCAGCACGAGCGAGCGACCAAGGAAAAAGGAAACAAACGCACGTCAGACACCCGACCCCATCCCCGTTTGAAAGCGACCGGGATTTGTCGTACGGAAAATTATAAACCGAAGAGAAACGTCTCCCTTGCACGTCAGACAACACAATACGGCCTTTTGTACTTTGTAACACGGTGCTAATTACTACGCATCAACCCGGCCCCTTAAGGTATACGCTGTCGAACCCTTTCATCGCGAGAGACCACTGGAGAAAAGCAGATTAACAAACGATACGCGAGAGGAACAGGTATTATACACCCGCGTGCTTGTCCTACAGAGTCACCTTTGAGATGCAAATAATAGTGATAATTACAAGGAGAAGATGATTCGAGTGATTTTGGAAAGCATCGTTAGTTTTGTGAAACGACAGAGGATCGGGGAATTTCTTTTTATAATGTACGTGTGTTTATCGGTGTACTCTGTGTTTTGAAAATAATTTTATTGGTTCTTAGATTTCTGTTACTTTGGTCTGTTCTTAACACTAGAACTATCAAACATAAATATGTTTCTATTTCTATTGCCTTGTTAAAAGGGGCAGCTTACTTGAAGCAAGCCAATTGATAAATTAACAAAATTCTTCACTTAAAGGTAACAGTAAAAATTACGAAGAATTCCAGAAAATACACTGTTATGACAGCTTAATCATTTGTTATAAAAGATTACGAACCAATCATTTTGACAGATTTGGTAGTTCTAGTGTTAATTGCAGTGAGCTTATTCAACAGTATTCCGTACTGAATGTATCTGTTGTGAAACCTCGATGAGATTTCACGTCGATAATAAATTTTTCGAACAAAATCGATGGCGTAGACCACTGATCGCTTCTCCCATGGTTCGTTGATGCTGTTTTAATTTTCTCCCGCCGGTTTTCCTTCCCACCCCCGTGGGGGATGCTCGATCGCGTGGAATCGACGAGACGCAAACGACCGCGGGAACGTTCCTTCGATTCGCGGATGCGTTCGCAGGATCGACGGGACGAGGTGGAGCGCACGATTCTCTTTTCCCGCGGAAAAAGGGTGAACTCGAGGGGAATTTCAATCGGCGGATGCGTCGGCTTTAAAACACTCGTACGCGCGAGTTTCCAGCGACGTCGGATCCCTGAGTACGTTTCTCGCCTCCTTTCGCTTCGTTCCTCTCCGCGGATCCGTAAAAGTTCTCGCTGAAAATTTTCCGCGTTTTCTCGCGTAAATCGCTCCCCCTCGCCCACCCACCCCACACCCCCTTGGTTACACGCAATATTGACGCGCGTGCATTTATACACAGGATGGTTATTTTTCGAGAGAAACTGTCGTCGGCATTGCACGAAAATTGTGAACCTTCCGTACCAGTATTCGCTCGTTACACGAGACACGCCCTGGAAAATAAGATTCCGTGTGCATCGAACGAAATTATAATTACTTAACCCCTTGGATAACGATTTAATCCGAAGAAATTTTTCACACGGATCTGATTTAATTTTCTTCTGCGTGTTCAATACATTACGATCGAAAAGAAATTAATAGGTTTCACAGAGAATGTTAATTCAAGAATTAATCAGGTGCCACATTATTGACGATAACTTCAAGTATTTAGAATATATTAATATACGTATTAGAAACATGAGAATTCATGAAATACCAATAACCGATTTACTAATTGTTCGTAACATTGTGGGATTTTTCAAAGCACTCAGGTTAATGCAATGACACTTGGAATTCTTTTACATCCCCAAGCATTCTTGCTTCCAATTGCATACATACAACACACCCAGCAGCTTTGAACATGCACGTTTAAATTTGTTAAATATTATTTCAAATCGATTGACGAGTAACCTCGTCGTTCTGTACTTTAGCAGAAATGACGTACACATGGCAAGTCTGACTCGTCAAATATATCCACAGGGTTAACGTTCAAATTCCCCCGAATTCCAAATCAGTATTTTAAAATATCACTGTACGGAAGGAAGTGTTTTTTTTTTAATGAGGAAAGGATCGTTGATACCCAAGACGAGATTTGAAGTCGACCGGAAAGTTGACTTCAGTTTCCGTCGAATATGGCCGGCAGAAACCCCCGTCTTTTCTGGGTCTCTAATTAAATAACAACATAATTCACCGTCTTACGTTCGAACAATTAAATAACGTTTAAGATTCAGCGTCGGCTGCCGCTGCTTTCCCATTATTTCACTGTTGCCGCCAGGCCTCCGAGCCCCTTTCCCTCGAATTCTTACGCCTTTCACTTTCAATTTTCATCGTTCTCTTCCTTCGACCGTCACTCTCTCCCTTCCTCCACGGGAGTGGCGGAAACCGCTCCATCCCACTGTTTTATGATTTTAATAAGATTCTTTCGTTTCCCTATCAATAATATCCCGTGCTCGTTTCTCGGTGAAGTTGGAAGTTACGCTACTCGCGGTGGAAGTTACGACCAGGTGGTATTTCAGCGATTGCTCTAACGCGGCTGGAACTTTTCTTTTGCTCGTTTAGGAGGTCTCGCGCGAAAAATGGGGAAAACGTAACAGAGGCTGACAGAGTATATCGTAAGAATTGTTGTCGGGTATATTAAGTCAGTGTTCACACCAATTACACGTACGTGAATTGATTAACTAAATGTTTTTGACAAATACAGTTTGAACAGTTATTACAGAAATTTTATAATGAAAGATTGGAATTTCCACGTTTAATCAATGAAGAATGGCGAAGTACCTTTTTATCTTTTATTTGTCATTCAAAACTCTTTAACTAGATAGTGAATTTGCCCATCTTAAACACTTTGACTGCCATGTTGCCCAAATATGGGTGACACGTACATTGGAAAAAAGCTGGATTATTTAAATATCGTTACAAAATGTTTGCATGAATTAAAATTGTAGTGTAATTTAAAACAAGACCAACAGCCTCTATTATCTACACGCGTATACTTTCGACAATTTACGACTTAAAAAACGAGATAAATTGTGTCTGGCTACGTACGGCCATTTTCACTGTGGAATTCAGTTTTAATCGAGAAAAATATTCCACCAGCTCAAAGGTTCGTCACTAGATGTAACCAAATCCGATTGGTAAACGCTTTTGCACCAAAACACGTACGTCTTATCTTTGCAATACTGCAAAAAAAAAAGGTGGTCCTAAGTAGGCCATTATACAACGATCAATCGGATCCGTATTCCGTTCCAAGCACCAACTGGTGTCCAGGTCTACCACAGTAGTAAAGCCCAGTGATGGTCGGACGTGACGAACTTCCAGCTCGCAGGCACGCGTCGAAAAACCCGGTCCATTGTGTCCCGGTGCTGTTTCTCATCGTCGAACAGCCAGCGACAGCTGTTAACGCGAAAACGTCAACCGCCCGCCGGTCTCGATTACATTCATTTCACCCGTCATTGGTCAAACCCGTGAACTTGTAATGTAACCGAATTAATCAGTTTCAATCCATCCACCCTCCTACCCCCCTTCTCCCGTATAAATTAGATCCACGGACGTGTGACGGTGGTTCGTTACGCGTCGCGACCACGCGCGCCGTTCGGTTACATTTAGCCTGTCGCCCATCGTTCACCGGTTCGCCCATAAGTAAATAGTAAACAAATTAATTGTCGCGACCGTAGGGGTAGGGTGGATTGCCTCGCAAATCGTACCATCGTGATTGTACGGCCGTCGATCCGCGGATTTACCGATGCACGGTAATCGATGGATTTTCACAATAAAAAAAAGAAAAAAAAAATCGCCACTGGATCGGATCGATTCACTCGTCGTGACACGTGGACCTGGTGGAAACGAGAGGGAAATCAATTGTAAAACCGGCTATTTGTTCCGACGTGACGATGTAATCGAGGCAAACGGCTCGCCTACACCACCCTCTATCTACACCTGGCTCGTGTTTCAACTTCCGGTCCCGGTGAAAGAGTTACAATTAATCGAAGCACGATGGCAACCGGCACCAACCCCTGGCGCGGTTTTCGGTAAACAAACACAGCTCGGGCGAGCCAGAACAGAGATTTTTCATTAACGCGTAAACTCCTGCTAAATCGTCCGTGCTTTGCCGCGCGTGCTTTTTGTTGTTCCAGGTAAATCTCACACGATGCTCGGCACACCGGAGGCGGGCCACACGTTGGGCGCGATACCGTGCGCGATCGCCTGGCTTTTCCGCGGGATCTCCGAGCAAAGGCAGAGGACAGGCGCCAGATTTAGCGTCAGGGTCAGTTGCGTGGAATTAACGGCCGGCCAACAGCAGCTCAGGGACCTGCTCGCGGCTCACGCGAACGGTGAGTAAATGTGTACAGGACCGACGGAATCGTCGTCCGTCTAGCTGACGCGAATAAAAAAAAAAAACGAGGAAGAGTGGTTGATGAACGGCTTCATCCTCGACCACGATCCTATATCCTCTTTTTGTGCTGTTCTTACTTGTGAATGCGCTTGTAGTTGTGTAGCATAGAAGATACTATTATTCGTATTTGAAGTTCTGCTGTTTGGTTACCAGAGTTGGGCAGAATTTTATTTGAATACAGGGTGTAACAAAAGTGTTGTAGGTCCCTGAAACGGATCACATGGTTATACCCTGTATAGTGAGCAGCAGCAGTATCTAAGAGCGTCATCTTGTATTTTAAACGGTTAATGGGATTAAATAATTATCTGCCAAGTGTCTATTCATTCAAGAAGTACCATTTCATTATAGGAATTAGAATTTCTAGGTTTAATCAATTGGTAGTAACAATGTAGCTTTTTCTCTTTCATTCGTTACTCGAAACGTGTAAAAAAAAACATTCAATATTCATATGACACCTAGGACACACTGTACAGAGAAAAAAATCGAATCTTGTTCTAACACTTATACATGGTGTTAAAAAAAAACCATTCAATATTTATATCGTACATAGGACACATTGTACTGTGTAAAAAATCGGCAAGAACTGTCGAATCCCGTTAGATGAATTTACCGAAAGAAAAGAATCTTTATCACGAAGAAGGCGTATGAAACGCCCTGCAGTTATCCACGCGAAAGCGCGAAGAGACCAAAGAAAGATCGCGGTCGCGTAAAGGATTAAGCAAGGGAACACAGTGTTTTAGTACTCTCGAACAATGTTGCGGGACGTGGAGCCACCGGAAATGAAGAATCCTAGGTTACAAATTGCGCGCAATATTTGTACCGTAATCTCCGTGGCACCGAAGTTTTCTCGTTTGAGCGGCCGATCGCGATAGCATTGTGTTCCCGCGCGTCGAAGAAACTTCAGTCGTAAGAAACACTTGTCTCGAGGAGACCGTCATTCTTCCCTCCTGCCCCTTCATGGTTTTAAGAGTTCTGGCATTCCCGCCACATCCACGAACGATCCGTGGATCCTGGCTCGAACCCTTCCGCGCAGTAACGTCGTCTTAGATATACTTGCCGAGGGGTTGAAAGTTTCCCGTCGCGTTTCTCCGCCACATGGATAGGGTTGAACGTTCGCCGGCAATTAATTCGATGCCTCGAACAATGCGGGCCGGCACAATCGTTTCGGATTAATTGGCGCCGTGTGCTGGCGAAACTGGGAGAATCCTCGGGATTGTGTCGTGTGCTGCGGCGGAAGCCTCGATAAACTGACCGTGGAAACTCGGTCTAATTTTCCGGACGTCCTTTCTCGTGTCTCTTAGTCCCGGATCCCTGGGTCCGGGCGCAATTTACATTTATACGGATCGTCGGCGTAGAGAATCGACGAGCCGTTCGATTGGTTCCTACTGGACGGAAACCAGGGAATCGTCAGGATTGCATGTACGTGACAATCTTTCCGATTAACGGGGAAATGCTTTTGTCTTCCCACAGAGTGATCGAATGGCGATTTTTTTTATACCTTAAATATTTGGTGTTTCGATCGATTGTAACCAGAATTATTAAGGATCTATGTTTTCTGGGTACTGGAATGGTGAGAAGAGCTTTACTTAGTTATTGTTACATATACTTTCTAGCAACTGGAACGTTTCACTCGGATTTACCCTGCATAGAAGGGGTGTTTCGAAAGTTCTGGGATTCGTTTCCGTCCCTTCTGTCAATACATTTTTTTTCTAAGAAATCATGTTATTCTGTCATGTGTAGACACATTCAGCTGAGACTACGTGACTTTTATATTAAAGAATTTGCAAATTTAACTATTTATATCTTCATTATATTAATGTTTACCGCTTTGTTAATTTGACACCGAGGGATACATTAAGTTAGGCACACGAGGAACGGATGAGGATGAACTTGAAAACTAGTTTTGCGCTGAAATAAGTGCCTACAGTCGAACGGAAATTATTTTCCAAAATCACAATGTAATATAAGCTAAAATCAATATAACAACAGATTTCTAACACGATTCCCAAAACTTTGGAAACATCCATCGTACTTTAACGAAATAATAGAAGAGTGATTGCAGAGGGTAAGACGAAAAATAAATTTTCCGTTCCACCCTCGCGTCAGCATCGATAAAAGAGCCGTGTCCTCCAAGAACCTAGTAGTTCACTGATTTGAAACGGGTCCCCGAATAAAACGAAAAGTCAGCGTGGAAACACAACGGGAAATTACATTCGCGAAATCGTACGTACCATTTGTTTTATACTCGAACCCGCTCGGGGGATACCAGAAGATTTTCAGCGTCCATGGATCGGCAAGAATTGCCTGTAATAACGTCCGGGTAGGAAAACATCATCGGCCAAAAGCCTGGAAGAATGAAGTCCTGTTCCACGTCCAGTTTTTTTGTCTACAATGTAAATCTTCTCTCTCATCTCCGTCGAGTCTCGCGTCCGCGGACGATTCCGCGGGTAATATGCAGGAAACTGGACGGGAATCTTCTTCGGTCCGCCATTTGATTTCTCCTTCACGGGCCAGCTCGTCCATCCGTTGGACCGTAAAATTGCGGGAGTAAGATTATTTCTTTTCCCCCCGTTTTTCCCCGTTTTCCTGACTCGCGCACTGTCCACCGCTTCGGCGTTCGCCTTGTTCCGCCCCGTTGTCTTCCTCGTTAGTCAAGAAATAGCGGAGAACTCGACGGACTAATAAGAAACCGAAGGGTGGATCCTTGTCTTCTATGGTGCACTTATGGGAGCACTCGAGCGAAGAGGTCAGGGGGGAAGGTAGCATGAGGGACGACCTTTGGAAAATTAACCTTGGACCCATGTCCAGCTCGTGTCACTACCGCGGATAGATCGTCCCTGTAGATCGTTGAACCTCCTGCAGGTCGTTGGCGTAACGTATGTATTTCCATATCGTCGTCGCGGGGTACATAATTATTTTACGAACCGTGCACACATTGTTATACCGGGAACCGACCGAGGCTATCGCGCGTATGTATCTACCGGCATGGAGTTTATGTTTCTTTTTTTTTTTTCTTCTTTTTTTGTTACGACCGATCGAGCCTGTTATTGGGCACTTAGACGGTCGTTGGAATTATCAAGGGACCCGGCCGGCTCGGTCGTTAAGCTCGAACTTTCAAATTAAAAAGTTACGGTGCGCCGCTGCGTGTACCGCGCATTAGGAAACGATTCACGGTCGGTACAATGTAACCGAAGTTATCGCGATCCCACCGTGGGAACGATAAACGCGCGCGGGGGTAATAATCTCAAAGGGTTTAGAATCGTTGTAAATTTTCGCGGCTGACATTAACGGAGAAGTCGCGTGCCGGTGCTGTAACACGGTGGAACGCGACAGCGCGCTCGCGGACGCACTAAAAGCCGCCCAGACGTCAAACGTCGGACACTGTTTCCGAGAACCCGAGTTCACCTGGCCAGACACACCGAGCCTATAAACCGATACCAATTTCTTTTCTTTTTTCCCTTGTTTTTTCCCCATATTTTGCATACCTTTAACGGTGCTTTTGATTTATGCGCGGAGGGCGACCCGCGGTGCACCGAGACACGGCAGGGAGTGCTCGTCCCTTCGGTTCTCGAGCTGGTTCCGAACCCTTTCGAAGTTCAGATTGAAGTTCAGATTGCGTGAACGTCCTACCCTCCAAGATTTTAATGAGGTTTTGCAGGTACGACGGAACGCCGTGGAAATATTCGATGCGTCGTCAGGTGAGCGAGCGGAGGTGGTTAATAGTTTTCGTCAATTTACGAGATATACTTACAAGTAGGACGACAGTTAATGAATACACTCTTAGAAGTATCTACTCTCAGTGATCCCGACGGTCGTGATATTTCATGAAAACTCCACGCGAAACACGATTCGAGTGGTCGGTTCTTTTTTTTTTTTTCGTCGCAGAAATCCGACGGAACACATTTTCGACTGGTTCTCGTTTGCTTTCCGTTTGCGAATTTCGAAGTTCGCGGGTCATGATTTCGAGCACGGTCTTTCCGCTTTCGCCGGAACGCTAACTAATTAAGAAGCGATGCAATTAATTTTCCAGCTTATTAAATAATTAACTCGTATCTCGGGGCCTGTTTTGCCTGAATAAGCGTTCGTTTCCCCCTGTTCCCTCCACTCTCTTGTTTCGACTTTCCTTCTTCCGTGTTTCTCCCCGTTGCCCCTCCTCAGTCAACCCGGAGAACCGAAAGCTCCGCGGCCGACGTGCGTTTCCCTTCGCCCACGCACCGGCGAACTTCAGCCTTTCTGCCTGGGAGAACTCGATAATCCCGACCTGGTAATTATTTAAACTTTTCGACGGGTCTAGTTCCCGGCAACGATGGGGACCGAAACGAGACACGCCGTCTTTGCGGTAATTTACTTTTGTTTCCTTCGTAACCCGGCCTACTTTGTCTCTCCCTCCCTTTGCCTTTTGTAGGACTTCGTATTTATTTGGGCTCGGTTTAATTTCCGTTTGGACGATTTTAGTGCGCACAATGGGACGGAGAACGGTCTCTGAGAGTTGACTTCTACAAAAAATTATTGTTCAGTTATTTTCCCTCTTCTTACCCTCGATTTTATACTGTCTCGAGGATTTCGCTGGATCAATGCGATATTCGAGTATGATGTGATGGAGTCTATGGTAGACAAGAAATGGGCTAACGAAGGTTAACTGTTGCATTGGGGTGGCGAAAAAGTTCGTACGACTTTTGACGTTAATTATCTTCAGGCGTTCTGAAACGCAACTGACTTTAATCCAAATCTGGAAAGGAAATGCTCAGGGAAGTCGCATGTACCCCAAAGTCCTGGGGGGATGAATAATATTTTCCGGAATATATACTTCACAAGCGGGTTTCACCACGACAATGAGCCGTCTCGTAGTAATTGTCATCGCGACTCGCGGTTATTATTTTAAATTTCTCTGGCCGCAAAGCAGATAAGAATGAAGATAAGGAGGAAGACGGGGCGAAT